AAGATAGTGTAGTGAAGGGAGAGGAGATGAGTTTGTGGGACAGAGGAAGTGCAGCAGGAAGAGAGGAGGAAATAAGAATAGGGAATGAAGGTGAATCACAGTGCCATCAGTTTGTAAACTACCACAAAGGGCTGAATGAGCTGAGGGAGGGGTTGATAAGCTCAAATGAAATGGGGACGTGTGAGGTAGCCATGGAAGGGGACTCCTGATGCGAGTCATTCAGTCAGTGAGTGAGGGATGGGTCACCATGGACACAGCCACTGACCCTGCACTGATGCCCCATCTATTCATCACATTAAAGCTACACCTCTGAGTGTCTGTTCCTCTCGTTCTCTGTGCTTGCTTTCTTGTTCGACTGTATTCATCTTAATGAGATCGACAACTCTGCATCTCTCCTCTTCTCTCTCGTCTGCAGCATCTGTCTGCATGCATTGAATCTGTGTCTCTCTCCACACATCTGCATTTATATTTTAGCATGTATTTTGTACTTTTAACGGTTGGCTGACTTTAGTTTAGACTTTAAGTGCCACAAATCGCAAGCATTATGCAAATAATGATCATGGTGAGGAAATAATATAATGAGATAACCTAATAAATACAAATGTATTAGGCCAAACAGTACTTTGAATAATACTGTGGCATGATATTTGAATCCATGCCTATCTATCCTTCTTGACAGCTGTTTCGTAACTTTTTAATACCTACTTTTTGTGCAATTATTTTATAATTGTCATATTTTCTGTATTTTTTTCCATCTCAATCATAGAGTTTGAAATATTAGTCTCTTTCTATTTAGTGATAAAGTAAAGAGCATCAACAAGCATGTGCAGGTTTAGATGTACAGTTTATACTGTTTGTGTAGGAGAGTGCCCTCGGATTACTCACCAGTGAGATCATTGGCAATTAGCCCCTTTGTGCTAACATAAAAGGTTATTAGCCATGTGGCGATGCGTGTACACACACACACACACACACACACACACACACACACACACACACACACACACACACACACACACACTCACACCCTGATTTACTGCCATTAAAGTTATTTCTGTGGGAAATGTCCTCGCCGGCAAAGCTTTACCATCCTATGTGGAGACTTGATTAGAGGTTGATTTAATGCTCTCCAAACAATGAGCCCCTGTTTATTTCCAATTAGCATGATGGATGCAGACTGCAGCAAACATACTGCCTTCCTCTTTTTTTCTCCCCACTCTCACCTCATATCTTTCTTTCTTCAACTTAAACACATTTTTCCTTGATGGCACTTGCATGGCAACAGCACGCTTGGACATGAGTGTTGCCATGGAGGAGCATTTGAACAACTGTGGATGTCACTACACCATATTACTTTAATAATTGGATGTTCAATGTCCTTAAACTCTTTGAAGATTGGGTTTGCTTTGTGACTTATGACATATATTCTGAATTTCCATTTTCTAAGGTCACTAAGGTTATTTACAAGGATTTGATTTAATTTGGCACACAGTATTCATGGTGTGAGTAGGGGCATGTCTGTATATGTTAAGAACAAGCACATTTAATAAAGTAGCTTAATAATATCTCCTGGTAACGTACACAATAGTATATGTATATATTCACATATAGGCTTGAACACTGTGCTTGCTATAAGGACACTAGAGGATCCACTAGAGACATGATAATAAATATACTTGCACAATTAAAGAATTCTAATTCAGCCCATGCAGCAGGTTCCTTTCGATAAATCATAGAGATAAAGTATCTGTACTATGTTATCAAATAAAGAGTATGGCTTTGCACTCTGGGAGCCCCAAGTTATCAGTCTGCCAAACATGCACCTTGAATCATCTCATCATTTGGAATCAGTAACACTCAAAGCTCTATTTGCAAGCAAAGAGAGGTGGCAATTTGATGCACTTTGGATCAGAAGATGGAACAAGCTCCTTTCCTCTCCATGCTGTCTTTCAATAAATTCAGATGATTTCCCGTGTCATTAAATACTGAATTTGACTTGCAAATTGTCCCCTTGTGCTCTCCATGAAGATGAGATGACACACACACACACACACACACACACACACACACACACACACACACACACACACACACACACACACACACACACACACACACACACACACACACACAGACGGTGTGCCTGGAGGCATGGCAGGCCTGGTGGGAGATCCTGGGGCCTGGCATTGTGGTATGAGGTGCCTGGCGTCTGGTCCCCAGGGGAAGTGGGCCGACTGTGATGTGAGGTTATTGGGCCCCGCTCAGCACTGCTTTCTGGTCCTCTCTGTGGGGGGGAATGATGGAGTGCAAGCGTATGACGGGTTTTATTAAACAGTAATCCCAACAGCTGTTGTTCAACCCTTCCTCCAGCTCTCTTCTTACATTCTTCCTTTTCCTTCCGTCTTTTCAGGCGTCTGTCTGTTACAGAGCACACCAAGCAGATCCACTAGAGACCCCTCATTACCGACTCACGTCTCCTAAACATTCAGTTCATAGACAGCTAATGTACATCAAAACATTTGCTTAGTTGGGGAATTAAATGCTGTCTGTATTATGTTTTCTTTTAAACAACATGACAAGGAAATTAATGTAGCAGAATGTGTCCGCCAATGGGTTCTGCCGAAATATCTTTTGGATTTCGGAGGGTGTTTTTCCCTTCCTTGGCAATAAAAGCATGATAAACACTTTTATGGTCGGTTCTAGGCAACGAAAAACTATTCTTGGTTTAACACGAGATCTGTGGTGTTGACACATTTAGCAAAGTAATGCTTAGTATCATCGATATACATTTTTTAGTAAATTAGGTTGATCTTCCTAATTCAAATACATTCACATACAATAAAGTTAATTTGTTAGTGTCTATTGTGGCGTTGTCGTCCAGACAGCACGTGACTCCATTAGGCCTCTGACAGTGGATGAAGATACATGTGTCTCTTTGTCTATGTGCTAGTGAAGCCCTTAATGTAGCAGAAGAATTAATGAGTCAGAGAGCAAAGGGTGAAAGTGCAGCTGTACACTGGCACCTGCACTCCACACACATGCACACACACGCCCCGCCTATACCTGCAGCTGGCCACTGATTGAGCTGTTCCCCACCCAGGGGACCCCCTCAATGAGGAACACGTGTGTCTCCCTCACTAATTACCCCCCTTACACCAGCTTGCCAAGAGTGCACCCCTTCCTCTGTCTCTGGGTCTTAATAAGATACAGTAGTTTCATCTCTGTCCCCATACATCTTCCCATCCTTCTCACTTTATTCTCTTGGCTCCTCTCCCTCCCTCCCCCTTCCTGTCTGTCACCCAGGACGTGTCCCACCCCAGCTCTGTCCCCCAGGCCTCTGCCCTCTCCCCCGGGTGCTCTGTGAAGGAAAGGCCTGGGCTTTGTCGCCCCGTCTAGACCCTGACACCAACCACACAGGGAGAGAACATAATGATGGGTTCAGCAAATGTGCTTACTGGCTCTAACCCACATGGGTGTGGGTGCACACACACATTCTTTCTCCACTGTTTCCTTTTTCTTCCCCTCTGACTCTGTCTTAGTGACAGAAATGACAATGGAGCCGTCTGTTCACCATATCATTAACATGTCCCCCACTGTACTTATCTGGTTGGGTACATAATTAAAGATTATTTTAAATCTAATCATCATACAATTTAAGCCTGATCCCTAAACTAATACACTGTGAGCATTATCCTCTCTTAAGCTGACTTAATAATAATTTGGCTAAATAGTCCTACTTTAGTGGTGGCTTGTACACTTTGTTGCTGCTTTAGTTTGATACTGCAAAGAGTTTGATACGGCCTGCTGCATTTCACTTTGTTACGTCTGATAATGAAGTCATAGAGAAGTAACACTTTGAGAAAACTTAAAACAGATGCATTACATTACATTCATTACATTGACATTTCTGATTCAAATAATTAAAGAAAAATATTCCAAAATATATAATTTAAAAAAAAAATAATACTAATATTTGGGGGGTTTTGTTTGTGAAATTAGCCTCATTAACAGTTTGCCTCATGCTGATGAAATGCAGTAGCTTGAAAAGACAATCGTGGAAGTGAACTATACAGTATTATTTTTCTTCCTGAATGAATTTGTTTTTTCTTTCTCAAGCTATTTGGAAGTTGCACATGATTCTAATTAAAACTATATTCACTGAATGTTTCTCATGGATGCATCAGTTTATCCTTGAAAGTCAATGCTTCAATTGGTAGTCTGTGCAAAAGTAAAACCCCAAACATTGAGCATAACAAAAAACTGCACTGCGGCTGGCTTCAGGGTGACCTACAATACTTTGTGACTCAGATGTTATACAACTTTTCTACCTCTGTGATTCACACTATCACACACTTTAATTCAGTGTGTGACAGTGCTGTCCCATACACTTCATCAGGTTAGGTGTAACAGGAAATATCGTAAACAGGACATATCAATGAAATTGTATATCATTTGACGGGTTTTCAAAAAACACAAGCTTGTATTCAGTTGGAAATTGTCTCGACTGTCAGGAGGTGATTTGTAGAAGATTGTCTCTTGTCACACACACTCTCTTTCTCTGTTTATTTTCCCTCTATTTTTCTCAAGCAGACACTCTGCTTTGAGCACTAATGAGAAATCAGGAAGAGCTGCGAATGCTTCGGTCATGATGGTCATGACAAGAGATGGATGTTGCCCTTTTCTCTCCCCTGTTTGTTTGGCTTTGTGTTTGTCTGAGCAGTGAGCCAAAGGACAGGGTCAGTGGTGTTGAATGACAAAGTGTGTGTGTGTGTGTGTGTGTGTGTCACCCGGATTTCTGGTCCCACACTCACATCTCATTGCTCTGTTTTAGTTTAACAGATAGATTTAACAGCAATATGTTCTTTTCAAGTGACCTTAACCTGAACTCTAGCTGAAGTATACATAGAGAATATGTTGTTATATTACCAGAGTTGTGAAGAGTCTTATTGTATTCTTCCAGAATCAAATATTTCAACTGTTTCATTTTCTTTTTATTACAGTCCAGTTTGATAGTGTGGAGAAGTCTCGAATGTCGCCTACCAAGGATGGGAAAACCCGCCCGCTGCAGCGACACTCCAGCAACTGTCTGGTCAACACGAAGCTGTCTTCACTGGACCACTGCGGTTCCTCTCTCGGGGAGCGCATCGACCCCACCATGCCCCTGGAGAGCCAGTTGTGAGTCAGATTGGGTTATTCCAAAAAGCACTTCGGCCATTCATCACAACATATCACAGTAGTACCCTGATCCTGGTCAATTACTGAAAAGAACACTGGCATTTTCGTTAATAGGGTACAGATGGTATCTATCATCAATACCCCTGCACTTGACTGCTTTAGCCGCTATTAAAGCCAGCATTATTCAGTAGCTCTGTTTCAGACCCAGGGTAGGAACACGATTATGATGACTCTTCAGCATCTCTCATCATTCCTTTGTTCCTCTTCTTTCTCTTCCCTATTTCCTATTGTTCACTGCAGCTGGTACCATGGAGCGATCAGCCGGACAGACGCAGAGTCTCTGCTCAGGCTGTGTAAGGAGGCCAGCTACCTGGTGAGGAACAGCGAGACCAGCAAGAACGACTACTCCCTCTCCCTCAAGTAAGGACCGCACTTTCTTTTCCTAGAAAAACAATTAGCCACTAACACGATAAACTAAAGCACAAGAGGACATGACAGCTGGGTGCAAAAGTAATTTCAAATGCGATTTCACCTGCTAAAGTGTCCTAGAGTCAAGAAAATTACGTGTACAATTCAGTATTCATTGTCTTAAGTGTCAAGAATTATTTGCAACAGGCATTTCCCCTGCCTCTGTGTAAAAGGTTTTAGCAGATTTACATGCTTACCAGGAGTGCACATGGTGGACACATCTAACACGTTGCTCACAAAGGTCCTTGTATACCTGCCCCCAATATTCTGCTGACTCGACCTTTTCAATATGGTAATAATGTTCACCTTTCAGACCTCTATCTCCCAGCTACATCCTGCCCGTCCCTTGTCCTGCCCCTCCCCCCGGTCACCCCTCTGACACCGTGCACTACTTGATTTGCTGATGTGCCCGCAACACAGTTAATGTTGTTCTCCATCAGCGACCCATGATCCCTGACGCATCCAGCAGAGGGTCCAGAGGAGCCCCTCTGATTGGTTTAGTCCAGTCTGACATTAGGTAGAGGTTACGTTAGCTGAAAGGCCCCGCGGTGAAGTCACTTCCTATTGTTTTGACGGGAGTGTGTGTCTTTGGAGGGGTTATTTATGATTTTGTTGCCAAGTGCAAGTTCTAGTTGGCAAAATCACAACCGGCCCTGCCAAGATTAAATGTGGTAAATTTGCTTGAGCCATCAGTTTCAAAATCCTTGTAACTTTCCCCATTCCCTTCATATAAAGTCAATTTTACATTTCCTGGCAGGCTCATCCATATGACATTTATAGAAATCTCCACAGCTCAATGGCAGCCTTCAGATGAGATGAAAGTATAATATGCTCAGAGACGTTGATTAGCCTTCATTATTACGGCAGAGCTTTTCTTGCTGGAGGCTTATGTGTCTTGGCAGGGAAACATAATGTTTTCCATTGCTCAAATTCTCTTCATGCTACTGTTGCTGACTGTCTAACTGTCTCAGTGACGGATGATTTTCTTTTGCTTGTGTGACTGGTTCCCTTTTGTGCTCTCACTCTGACATTCTGTCTGACTACAAACCTAAAACTCAAAGCCTGTATGACTGTTTTACAATACTGTATAGCATGTTTAAAGTGTTTTTAAAGTATCCTAACACACTGTCTTAAAATGATCCATTACATGAAGCTAAAGGAAGGTACCTTGGAGATACAAATGGATCTAATAGTAATCATATCACTCAAAATAATCATAGATACTGTAGGAATCAATATTTATTTAAAAATGCTACGCTATATAAGAAAGGACACATGATCAAGAAATGCAAACCAAGACCAAAAGTAATAGTTCAAAGCTACATACACAAATAGTTAAAATACAGATTTAACAACAATATTGTTCAGGATTAAATGATCAGTATAAAACAGATATCAAAGTCTTAGTGGACTAGACTTATACAGTATTTCCAATTAAGTTTGAAACAGTTTGCTATCCCTATGCTGGTAAAGTTAGTGATAGCACAAGGAGCAGGGACGTGCACAGACATTTGGAGGGGCTATTGTTCTAAACTGGAAAAAGGGCCTTCCCCCCCGATAAAAAACACAAGACCTTTTGAAAAT